CAATTGTTAGAATAATAGACCAACGCTAGAGGGGGGGTGAATAGCGTTTGATCAAGAAATCGCAGGAATAAAAATGAATAAGCGAGAAGTAAAGAGAAAAGAACGAGGCACACCGATTTTACCCTGGTTCACCACAACTTGTGGCTAGTCCAGCCTCCCGAGAGACTCTCTCGAGCTACACTACTATCTTGTTAAGCTTAACGGTGCTTAACAAACCCGTACAACTTGAGAATTCGAGTCACATGAACCTCAACGAACCTTCGAAGGAAACAACCCTTCCTTCGAACAACAAGAGAAATGCCTTCTCTTGTCAAGTGTCTAAGAACACTAAAAACACTCAAGAACAATACTCTCTTTTAGAGTGGATAATGAGTACACTAAGAATGCTCAAGAACACAACACAGGCTTCACAAAAAATGGCTCTCAAAACCTATGAAAAATTGAAGAATGATTTGCAATGAAAGAGTAGGAGTTGTGAAGTAATGTGATTCTTAAAACAGACCCAAACACACCATTTTATAGTAGAAAAATAGGCTCCAACGGACCAAAGTATTTAAGGGGTGATTGGCATAATTTGTGGGATTTGATTAAAATTGGATCTGCTGAAATTCACCCAGACAGCGCTGTCCTAGGCTTTGACATCGATGTTCTAGGCTTGATTTTTAAAAATTGGGAAGTAACGGTCATGCCAACAGCGATGTCCAAAACCCCTACATCGCTGTTTTGGCTGTTGACTTCCAAACAAGGAAAGTTTTAACCTTAAATTTCTTCCAACGGTCAGGTCTCTACATCGATGTTCTATACTAGAACATCGCTGTTTAGGTCTGCCTTTGGAGATGGAAGTTTGGCCTGACAGCGCTGTTGCTGGGTCAACATCGCTGTCCAAAAACTTTCTGCCAATGCACTATATTTTTGGCTTAGGTTGGACAGCGCTGTAGGGAAGCCTACATCACTGTTCCAGAAGTTTCTGGAAATCCAACCTTGGCTCAACAGCGATGTCTAGTGACCAACATCGATGTTGGAAGACTTAACGCCAAACCATGTTTTTAGCTACCCAGTCCAGACAGCGCTGTTGATTACCTCAACATCGTTGTTGGGCTGGTTTAGCCAGACCCATGGTTGGTTTAGTCACGCCGTTAGCCGATGTCAAAAATGCAAGTTCTCCAAAATAAAAACCAAGTTTAGAAAACATTTTTTTATTGCACTTTGCTACGAGAACAAGTAAAACATCTTGAAAACCACGTCATTTAGTTGAAAACCACGGCTAACCAAGTTCGTGCCGTTTCGCATGGTTTTTACTAAACGACAAGAAACGGAGAGTGGTTTTTGAGGCGTTTTTGTTGGAGAGCTAATTAAATATGCCCAGAGGTAAAAACCAGTCATAAAAAGTTGAAAACCACTTGGTTGGTTCGAACGCCAAAAACCAATGTCGAAAACCGAAAGCCGAATGCCGGTTTCTGAAAGCCGAACGCCGGATGGCTTGGTTTTTGGCTTGGGCGAACTCCAAGTGTTTTGACCCAAGTTTAAACTTAAGAAAAATATTTTTGAAAATGTAAAAGAGATTTTTATGAATTGAGCCTAGAGAGCCAAGATTTGGAATTTTGTGCCGGTCTTGATCACATTAAGACCGACTCAATACAATTTTAGTTCTTCGTTCTTGATTCTGGGTTCTTGGTTCTCAAGTCATCATGCCATGTTCCTTCGCCTTAGTTTTGCTCACTTTATCTTCGATATGTCGCGGCGGTTTGGCATTATCAAAACCTGTCATAAAAACCAAACACAGTTTAGTACGACGTAAGGCGTAAACCCGTGTTCCAACAGATCGGACTCATAGACTATGTCAAGAGCATGGGCTCGTCCAAAATAGCTGTGCACCAGGGCATGGTGCAAGATCCTCCAGGTTGGACGCTTCCAATACATCGAGATGGTGCTGCCACTCACGTAAATCCCTCGGCCATTTGCTTGCCAGAATTTCTTGGCATTGAACGCGGGATCCAAAGTGTCTGGCAGGCGGGCAAACTCCTCGGTCCTCATCTCGTCCAGGGTGTACAAGCTAAGCAGCCAAACTAAATCTGCCACTGAGAGTTGGAACCGTCTGCCGACCAATGTGAAGATCACCGTAGTAGCGCATGTGACTTCGGCTGGAGCCTTGACTTCCTCCTCTTTATTGAAAAATTGGAGGGAACAGAGGAATTCCACGGTTTGCTCTAGGCTGGCTGCTGCGCGCAGGAAAAGCAGGACTCTCCACTTTGGATCATAGAGAAACTCGTCAATTTCTTCCCAGTGCCCACTCTCAATCAGGGTCGCGGGGTCTAACACCAACGGGGGCTGGAGTGACTTCTGATTTCCCCATATCAAGAACTTCTTTCTGGCTTCATTGGAGGTTAATGGCAGAGCGTCCAGGTCGCGCAACGTGTGTTGATCACCATGTGGTATCATCCAAGCAGCATCCATCTGCAAAAAAACAAGAAAAGTAAACAAGTAAAATCTTGCCCCCAGAACTTGTGCGGCAAGTGGAAACAGTAAAGCAAGTGAGAGAAATGTAAATACTTTTGTATTTTTAAATGACGGGTTGCCTCCCGTTGAGCACTTCTTTAATGTCCGTATCTTGACGCTTTAATCACTTTTTTTGCGATTTTCCGATCCGGGCATCGTAGAGTTTGGCCCTACGAACTCTTTTCTGATGCCACCTTGATTGATAATTTGCATAGCCAAGGTCCAGGATCCTTGACTTCTCCTTGAGGCTAGGTGGCAGCAGGATAACCGGAGGAGACTTGTAATTGGTGGGTGGTGGCGGAGGTCTCCTCAATAGCTCCACAACATTGGCCTTAGTTGCTAGATTGATTTCAATCGAACCTTTAATGGGTTGACTATCCAATTGTGGCTCAATGACTATGACGTATTGTACCCCTACAGAAGAGTCTTCCAAGTCACTTAGAAGATTATCCCAGCTCATTTGACTCCAACTATCCTTCGGGCAAACATTGTCCTACCCGTCAAGTAGTGAGTCGAAGAAGATTTGGTCAGAGTCTACTCGTGAAGCATTCATTACAGAGGTTTCTATAGACGGAGTTGGATCTTCTGAAAAAAGTATTTCCTCGTCTATAGATTCCTCTTCAGACTCTTTGGAATCTAGGGGGTAGGTAGTGGGCTCTATTTCCTCCAGAACAGGTTCCTCTTGAGGTGTGTCTTCAACACCGATAAGAAGAGGTGAGTCTATTGTCACGGGGACAACTTCCTCATCCTTTTCTTCTATTGGGGATTGTAGAGGTTGTTCTGAGTCAGATTCCTCAGTTGGTTCCACCTTATGTAGACCTTGCCGCTATGAGGGCATTCAGGTAATTCCATCACAATAGCCTGAGTGAGCACATGCTGGGTCATGCTATACTCAGGTTCCTGTGCTGGCGCAGGTTCTTTTGAATCTTCAAGAATAGGGTCTAGGTAAATCTCTTCTTGATCAACTTGATGTGGCTCCCATTCTCTTGATTGCTCCAACTCTTCTTGGGCTCGAAGGTCATATTCTGCTTGTTCTTCTAACAAATTGAGTTTGTCTGATCGAATACAAATATGTTGCTCCATGTGTTTCCTCCAAAACTCAGGAGACAATTCATCATACCGATCATACGTAGGGGACATGAAAAATATGTTGTGCATCGCTAATAATCGATCAAGTTCCCTGACCTCATTTTCTTTATCGTAAAATTCCTTCGCATCCCTTTCACGTTGAGCTCTTTCTTCTTGGAGTTGGGCAATTCGGTTAAATCTCCACTCAATGGCCCTCTTGTTCCATTCAAGCTTGAATGCAACAGAGTGGTTATTATAATTGTGGAGGGGAGGGGGTTGATAGGATGGATCTTCGTTCATTAATTCCTCATCAAGTTCTTCTCTCCTATTCTCGGCCTTTCGAAGCTCTTCCTCATATGGATTAGGCTGGTAGTTGTACGTAGGCCCATGTTGGTTATAATCATATTGATCTCCATGAGGTTCATAATAATCCCTACAGTTATATGGAGAGTTACCATAGTCACTGGGTTGGGATTGGCATGGGGGTTCCTCATGTTTCAGATAGTAGTCACACCCATTGTTGACTGGATACTCATCATCAAAATAATTTTGATGTGGGTGGTAGGTTTGCGGATATAGATACGGAGGGCGGTTTGGTGGTGGACAGTAAGAAGGCGGACCATAATAACTGGAGTTATCCATAATTATTATGGGTGGATTGTGTAAAAGATGTGAGAAAATCGACCTAACCAATCCTTACCTAAGCTAACCAGAAGAAACCAAATTAATACAGTGCCACTCCCCGGCAACGGCGCCAATTTGATCGAATAGTTTTTTTTTGGAGTATAAACCTTCCTAGTAAAGGGTTAGTTTTATCCCCGAGTTGTCGTTCTCTAGAGGAGTGGACGAAGGGAATTAATTCAACTTCTCTAGTTAGGTGAAGATTTGGATTGGTTTTAGAAGTCTTCTCGATGCGAAAATAAAAGGGGAAAAAGAAATAATAAATACAAGGAAATAAATTTATTCACATAGTACAAGTAGGAATTGGATCTAGGGCCAGGACATCATTTGGGTTTACTTAAATTAATTAAATTAATGATTGGAAAAATCGTATTTCTACTACCACTCATCTATTTCTAGATTCGTGATTACCCTAAACAGATTTTGAATAATTCAGCCTTCCGGCGTAAAATATTTTCTCAATAAAAAGTTAATTAAATATTTCTATATTAATTAACCAGTTAAGGCAAGAGCAAATTCAGAATAAAAATTCCAGCATTAATTTAGTAATAAAAAGCATAACCACAAACTAGCCCGGACCCTAGGGGTCCGAACCCTAACTCATACTTTGGAAATAATGAACTAAAATAACGACATAATATTAAAAGAGATCTACTTACCGTTTCCGGACAAGCACAATGATAGCACAAAAACTTGGAAAGAGGTCTGGGCAACAAATGCTCCAGAGTACCCCTAAAAATATTCCTAAACTACTAAAATATGAAAAAAACTGTAAAAGGGGGTGTAAAACCCAAGAAAGGCAGAAAACTGCTGCTGATGCTGCTGATGTGTTTTTTTCGTGACAGGGGAGGGTCCGTATTTATAATAATAGGAGCCCGGGCGTCCCAGCCCCAAGCATCCCCCGAGGTGTATGGCTGCGGACGCCTCGGCTCCCGATCCATTTTGGTGGCGACGCGTGGCAATCTTGGGGAAGACGAAACCTGAAGTGTCCGAAAATCCAAGCGTCCCCCCTTCAGGCGTCTGGGCAGGACGCCACAGCTTCTGGTTCTTACGGCGCACGAATGGTCTTCCGTGACCTATGCGGATTAGGGTCCAATTGGGCCCCATTTCGTTCCTTTTTGGCCCATTGTGCAAATCTTGACCTAGGAGGAGTCCAACTTTGACCCGAAGTTGATAATTTTACCCTTTTCTCACATAATTAGTCATGAAATGGTAGATTTGACTCGATTTTCCTTATAGACCCTTTTTATGACTAGTAAAACAAATTAAAGCATTTTTATCCATGAAATGCACAATTAATGAAACGATTAAATATTATTTACGTGCAATAACGCTAAAATATGATAAAAATGATAAGAACAAAATGTTCTTATCAATGACGTTACCTATGCCCCGTGAAAAGTCCCTTTCCAACGGCAAAGTTTGCTCAAATTCATCTCTTTAAAGTATGATTTTTAATTCCCCAATCTTTTCTACCAATTTTATTCAAATCTTCGTATTACTCTTGGTGATAGTCCGGTCTTGATTTCCCACGTTGACAGCAAAACCATTCTGGTTGATGCCAAGACCTTGACGGCTATTCTCTGTCTCCGTCAAGGTTGAGTCTGTGGTAACTTTGATGGTACCTTTGTGGACCAAGCTATTTGGCAACAACTTTGCGTACCATTTCATCGGCTTTCATACGTCAATTCCTCAAACCCGAGTGTCACCAACCTCACTTTGACCCAATGGGTGCTTCAATACATTTTTTTATGTGTTGTTGCCCCGCGATTTGAGCCATGGCGTGAACAAGGATGATATCCGTTTGTTACACGTTCTTTTAAACGACGTCAAAATCGATTGTGTCCATTTCTTTCTTGTTGCTTTTCGTGATGGCTCTTGACTCCAACACCTTCGTTTTGCGGTCCCAATCATGCGTATTCTTCTTCGTTGCAAAGTGGACTTTTCGCGGGTCATATGGGTACTGGTGAAGAAGACGTGCTTCATCCAAGAGACGAAGTTCACCCGTTTCATTTGCAAGAACGATGGTGAAATGCCTTAACCCCGAGCGACCGTGATCGAGCAAGACGAGAGCATTCATGAGAGTCATGCCGAAACCAAAGCCATGCCAAGCTGCACCGGAGAGGGACCAAGCCATGCCAGAGAAGGACCGAGCAATGTAGGTGAAGAGACGAGTCATGCCGTGGTAAGAGAAGCCCGACGACACCGACCATGACCGAGAGTGGACGAGCTCGAACCATCTTGGGTCCAGAAGATTTTTTATGCCATCACTTGTGTTCGTGATGACGTTCGCAAGCTCTCCGATCGAGTCTCCCACCTTGAGGATTCTCGCTTCTTTCGCTCATACCGTGGACCACGTCATAGCTACTCGGGAGGACCCAGGCCGGTGAACTCTCTTTGATGACTCTGTTTGATTACGTTCACTATTGGCATGTTTTTGGTTATGATGACTTTATGGATTATGTTAAATGTTTGTTGTTGATGACATTATGCTTGTGTTGCTTGATTTTATGTTAATGACATTATTGTTGTTAATTGTTGAATGCTTTTAAGCCCTTATGATTATGCTTAATATTGCATGTCTGTTGGTTTGGCAATATGTTTCTCGTTTAGAACATATTGTCCCCTTGTATATCAAAATTGCATTAGTTCACCTTTTAAGGAAACTCTTGTAAATTTTTCGGAAATTCTTTTTCGAAATTTTTTTGGGCTATCCTTCACTACCCGCGCTTAGCTTAAGGGGAAAGGAACCTTTTGATAATGCCAAAAGGGGGAAGGAAGGATAGTTGAGAAATTCTTTTCAAAAACGTTTTCCGCTATCACTCCCTAATTATTTGTGTTCACTTCTAAACTTGTAGGGGGAACTATTCAAACAAAAAGGTAGTATTTCTTGAAATGTTGTTGTTTTTATCTCAACTAAGTTTGTCATTATCAAAAAGGGAGAAATTGTTGGACATGAGTTAAAACCCCTCTAGATATTTCTAGGAATTAATTTTTTCAGGTTTTGATAAATGACAAACGCAACGCAGAACAAAAATTTATTTTCGATTCAAGAAAGCAAAAGAGACACATCAAGAAAATTACGAAAATATTTCGGCATTCAAATCCCTACGTAAGATTTCGAAGTGAAGAGAAGTTTTCCAAAGACTTTTATTTATTTTAAGTCTAGAAAATGTTGTAAGGATGACAAAATATCTTTTTACTTAAAATTATTTTTGAGGGATATACATTAAAATGCAAATCACAACTATAGTTAAATGCAAATCACAACTATAGTTAAATGTAATGTGGACCTTAACAATGGGCCTAGCCCAACCCGTGAAGACAGGATTGGTCACCAAGTAAAAGGAGAGCGCATGTTTGAACACGGGTTTACGCCTACGTCGTACTAAACCATGTTCATTTTATGACACGTTTTGATAATTCCAAACTGCCGCGAGAATAGGATTAAACTGAGCAAATCAAAGGCGAAGGAACATGGCATGATGATTTGAGAACCGAGAACCAAGAACCAAGAACGAAGACTTAGAATTTATTTGAGTCGGTCTTTATGTGATCAAGACCGGCACAACTTCCGAAACTTGGCTCTCTAGGCTCACTTCATTGAAACACTTTGTTGCATATTCAAAAATGTTTTTCATAAGTTTTTAAACAAGCCAAAAACACTTGGAGTTCGCCCAAACCAAAAACCAAGCCATCCGGCGTTTGTGTTTCAGAAACCGGCGTTCGGCTTTCGGTTATCGGCATTGGTTTTTTGGCGTCCAAACCAACCAAGTGGTTCTCAACATTTTATGATTAGTTTTTACTTCTGGGCACATTTTAATAGTTCTCCAACAAAAACGCTTCAAAAACCACCTTTCGTTTTTGGTCGTTTAGTGAAAACCATGTGAAATAACGCAAACTTGCCTAGCGATGGTTTTTATCTAAATGACGCGGTTTTTAAGATGTTTTACTGGATTTCTTAGCAAAATGCATTAAACCAATGTTTTCATTACTTGGTTTCTATTTTGGAGAACTTACATTTTTGACATCAGCTAACGGCATGACTAAACCAACCATGGGTCTGGCTAAACCAGACCAACAGCGATGTTGGCGTACCTGTTGGGAAACGAGGCTTGGATAACGCAGCGGAAAACAAAAATTTATAGTCCAAAACTCGATTCCACCCAAGAACAACTTACGTAAATTACTAGCTATAGTAAGAAATTTACCTTAACGGTGAAAACGGAGAACGGAGGAACGGTCGGGGATGGTTTTGAGGAGATGAACGTAGCGCCAAACGTATGAAGCCTCCAACGTATCCACACGAACTTGCTCCGGAGTCCTAGATTAAACTTGTGCTAGCAAGTTTAATTTAGGATAGTAAAAACTATAATAANATAATAAAATATTTATCTTATAAATATTTCTTTATAATATTTTGTGTATATTTCTAACACTTTAGAAAAATAACTTGTAATACAAAATAATAATTTTCTCCTCTCTCTCTCTATATGGCCAAAAATCACACACCAAAAAAGGGGAGGGATACTCACACTATATAATACAATGTATTAAGAAAATGCTAGGAAATTGCTTAGGGACAAAAACAAATTAGGCTTAATTTATTGTTCCCAACCAACACAACAAAACAAGTATAATTTTGTTAATCAAATATTTGATTATAAAATCAAATATATCATTAGGTCCGAGCAAGTGTATCGAGGCTCGTGGGACTCGAGTTCTCAAGTTGTAACAGTTTGTTAAGCACCCATAAGCTTAACAGAAGTAATGTAGCTCGAGAGAGTGTCTCGGGAGGCTGGACTAGCCACACGTTGTGGTGAACCAGGGTAAAATCGGTGTGTTCTTTCCTTATGCTTTTTTATTCTGCTCTTTATTTTATCCCTGCGATTTTTATTCTGCGAAAATTTATAAACATTCTCGTGACTCACTATTCACCCCCCCCCCCCCCCTCTAGTGAAGGGCACTTATTCTAACAATTGGTATCAGAGCCTAACTCTCTAAAATTCTTAACGAGTTGAGAGAACGATCTATATTTCTTTTGAGAATGTTGAGCGCAGGATCTTTTAGCGAAGGACACTCTTTAAAGAGGCCACCACTCTTTAAAATTTCAATCAAATATCATAAAATTTTATGTACATATGACAAAAGTTATTTTAATTTTATACAAAATATGTATATATATGTGTGTGTGTATGTCTGTCTCTATATATGTGTGTGTGTGTGTGTGTGTGTGTGTGTGTGTGTGTGATCCTTGGTGAAAGAAATGAGAATAATTTTGGTCCATTAGATGTGATGGATCGTGTGGCCTAGATTAAATAGATATGTCATTGACCAATTCAATTTAAATAAGGAAGGAAATCACTACGATGCACTAAATTAGGGAGTAATAGTTCCTGGGGTTAAATTAGACATTTTCAAAGTTTAATAATATCCCACTAATATCACGCCATTTGGATCTCATGGAGCCATGATTTGAAGAAATTTAATGTTGTGTTCCCCTTGTTTTTGAAAGTGTCGTGCTCCCCTTTATTAACATAGAAATGATGATGATGATGATTATTATTATTATTATTATTTTTGTTAACAGATTAATTTGATTTTCTTTTATTATTCTACGACACTCAATATTTTGCACAAATTTTTTTAGACACAAGTCTATTTTTAATAAATAATATATCGTTGAAAATCTCTTGTATAGAGTTATATAAAGACAACAATATTGAACATAAAATTTTAAAATAATCTTATTTTCAAATTTAAATGTAAAAAAGCGAAATTTGAACATATATATTTTAATTTTTTTTATAAATCTCTCGTCTAGTTTACCTAATAAAGCCAATATTGAATGCACTATGATGACTCATATATGCACTATGATTAATCCTTAAAGATATTATTTAAAATTTATTCTATTTATTTATGGAGTAGTGAATTATCAATCCCAAATGATTTTGAATGTAATGAAAAAGCTTGAGAATGCGTTGTATTAAAAAAAAAGTACTCTAATACAAATTGGACAAGTATTTTGCCTATGGGGGATTCGAACCCACATCTGTAGTACATACCGCTCTACCATTTGAGCTAATAGGCAATAAAAAACTTTATAAAAAGAAAATCCATTTTGCATTTGGAAATATCAAATATGCATTTTAATCTATTAGAGTGTGCATCATTCGACATGTTTCTAACTCATATTCAAAAATATCACATAACATTTTAAATGTATCATCGTTTGTAAAAATTTTACCTTGATTTTGAGAATGCACAATAACAGAATGCGTTATACATTATCATTCTAAAAATGTATTATTTTCTTATGAAAATGCATTACTTTGATCTTGAGAATGCATAGTAACATAAACTTATACAAAATTTGTTCATTAAAAACAAACTCCATCTCAAGTGTATAGTTGCACCACTTTTGTTGCATGATCACAAAGAAAATCTGCATGCAAAGTGTTTGTAGTGTGCATTTTAGAAGTTTATAAGAAGAAAGTGGATCATAATGAAGCTTTTTTTCAACAAATAAAAGGCACTCTTACCAAGTGTGCACTCTTATCTAAAAATGCATTCTCTTATCACATAAATGCATTACCTGTATTCTGATAATGCACAATAACGAAAACTCATGTATATTTTAGAATTATAATTTAACAAAGCAAAATATGCTACAATGCACCTTTACTTCTCTGTGTTGCATTGTTGGAGTAAATAATATGCAATTACGAATACCTTGCTCTATAAATTAATATTAGTATTTTTGATGCACATCTTATAATGCAAAATCTGGCACTAAAACAAGCAAGAGAATAAATAACAAAGTAGAATCAAAACTTTATGATGTGTATTTTTTAAAAATAATGTAGTGTATCTTGTTTAAGAAAAAAAATTAGACTTTTGATTGAAAAGGATTATTAAGAAGATTAACATGATTCCAGTCAGATTTGCAATACAAGAATGGTAGATTCAAAATTTTTTATACTCTAAATCTAATATCAAGAGTATATTTCTAGTTTCAAATTGCACCTGCTTTGTCTTTGAAACATTTTCACAAACAGTTTGTGTGCATAAATAAAAAACATGAACGTGGTAGACATTGATATTGTATATCATGGGAATTCTAAATAGATGAACTAAATATCATTCTATACAAAAGAAAAAATATTAAACAACAAGGTATCACGTGGGAACAAAATAGATGTTGGGAAATTAAGGTTGGGAACCCATTTTTTCTCATGTATGAATTTATCATCCTGAGAAATCAAGTTCAAAAAAGAAAAATTTCTAAATCATTCTAAATAAGTTTAAAATTGAAAAAAAAACCTGAGATTCTGTAACTGAGCCTCAAATAGGTTGTCGCCTAGGGCCGCTGCTGCACCTTACCACCGCACACGATCCGGCCTCGATCCAGAGTTTCTTCCTCAAATTCACCATCAAAGAACTGTCAGAGCTACTGAGACAGCCCGACGTCTCTGCTGTAATCTTTTATCTACAAAGATGCATTTAGATCTATGTTGCTCTGTGTCCAGATGGCTAAAGGAATTTTAATGGTAAAGATTGGAAAATATGAGATAAAAAAAGAACAAAGTCATGAGAGAAGAAATCTTAGACGCAACAAAGAGGAAAGAGAAAAGCCCGCATTAAAAATACTAAAATGCCCATATGTTTTAAATATGGACCGTGCTACAGTGCACCCAGATATGCTTCCTTTGTTGCCTCCCTATTTAAGGTGTTTTTTTACCTTTTCTCCTTCTTTTTTTTCTTTTTTTCTTTCCTCCCTCTGGCTTTGCTCTTCCGCGCCAGCCAGCCGCACGATCTGTGCTCTCCTTCCTACAAGACAGGTATAGTAATATCTTCTATTTCTTATCTTCCTCTTCATATCTCTGATGCGCCAACCCTTGTAGCATGACCATTCCTCTGTCAATCTCTTCTCTTCATTCTATTTTTATTCAATTTCTATAGCAATAATTTTTTGATTTTTTGTAGAGTATATAGGGTATTTGGTGATTATGGACTTACAAACATCTATTATTACACATGGTGAGAATGATCAACCACATGATTTTGGTGGTAAAAAAGAAGAACTGATTTTATATGAGTTGCAGCCCAGTTGTAAGTGTTGATATTTAGACCTCATTCTATATTCATTTGAACTTTGAAGTAGTGAAAAATAACTGTTTTGTTTTGGTGTTACAGAGATTAAAGTTCTGTAAATCTAGGGTTTGTCCTTGTCACAGATGCTAATAATCTGTATGTACTCTGCATTTGATGTATTTTTGTTTTCTTCATAGTCAGACATTGTATTATATTAAAGGTACTATTTTTTGCAGCTTTTGAACCAGATTTGTTTCTTAATGATCCTTGCTTTCAGTATTTATTTAACGACGAAGGGCAAGAATAGGCGAATGGTGAGATCGGAATGCAAGAAATTCCCAAACATACAACAAGCACTACACTTGTGTTAGACCCCATAATCGGCACACGCACCTTGGGAGGTCTGGAGCTTGTGTTACGACCTCACCTTGGGAGGTCTGGAGCTTGGTCTTTCACTACATTGACTTTTAACAGATCTTTTTTTGCATCAAATCTAGAATTTTGCTCTCATTTTTTAGAATGAGCATGGGAACTGTAAATCATATAGCTTTTTGCTTTTTGCTTTTTGTGTAAAGTATGTAACAAATATGATAACTTTCTATGAGTTCCCTGCACATAAACTGATGTAAATCAGATGTAACCCTGTCTTCACATACATTCACTCTCTGTGAAGTGTGTGACACAGACAGTTATTCAATGTGAGCACCATGAAATCTAATGTATGCGTTTTAACTTTGTTTTTAGCTTTACAAGACCCCCACATATGTGATAAGATTCTGAAGATGGTGTATGTGCACAATGTTATGTAACTCTGTCGTCACATACATTAAATCTCTATGTAACGGGTAAAATAGACAGTTATTCTCTGTGAGGGCTTTGAAAGTAAATCTATAATCCAGTCATAAACTAATGTAAATCAGTCATCACACACAATAACAAAATGTGCATTAACAAGTAGAAATTCATGATGATAAAAGCCCCATTACAAAGCTTTCAAAAAATGTAAAGTGCATAACGTTATGTAACTCTGTCATGACATACATTAAAACTCTGTGTAACGGGTAAATTAGACAGTTATTCTCTGTGAGGGCTCTGAAAGTAAATTTGTAATCTAGTCATAAACTAAGGTAAATAAGTCATCACACACAGTAACAAATTGTGCATTAACAAGTAGAAATTCATGATGATAAAAGCCCCATTACAAAGGTTTCAAAAAAAATGTAAAGTGTTTCCCCAAAAAATACATTACAAAGCACAAAAACAATTACAAAGAGTTTCACAAAAATTAAAGACCCCTAAAATGTAAAGTAAAAAAACTAAATATTGGTTGTTTTCCTTCCACGCCATAACCTAGCTGCAAATTGACATCGGAAATCAGCCATGTGTTCAGAACTACAGTCCGGACTTAATGGTAAGCCAACCAACAAAGACTCTAGAAATGCAAGCACCATCACTCCACAATTGCCATACCTGCAAGGTAAAATAGTATTAAAATAAGTAGGGGGGTATGATTTTCACCCGTCCATGGGAGTAGCATAACGAAGTAATGGCGAACAAACCTAGAGTCCTGTTGCGGAATACAATTGACAACAATTGTTTCCCATTTCTTCTCCAAACTGTTTGGACACACACCATTAACCGTGCGAAGACATTGTTTGAAATGAAGTTCAATTAACACAAGTTAAATATTTACACAGACAATAATCATATATGAAGTCAATAAACAGAAGTTAATCGTCTATGACATACAATTCACAGAAAGCAAGCAAAAATAACAAGCAGACCTCTTTCACAGACAATAATGTTATATGAAGTTCAAATAACAGAACTTAACCATCTATGGCATACAATTTACAAAGTAAGCAAAAATAACAAGCAAGTGCCACAGATTTTGCTACCACTGCAGGGCCGGTTAAAGGGAAAAAAAAGAAGACACTATCATAGGAGAAAGGAATTTATGACAATAAATAGCTTTCATATGAACGTGCAATAATTTAACACTACGAGCATTGTTTGAGGGCAATTTTGATTTTTGAAAGAAAACAATACCCAAATTACTATAATTGTTTTCATTAAAACCATTGCCAAGAACAACTGCCCCTATATATTTTGAGTCTTTGGGTGGGGGGGGGGATTGTATAAGA